TAGATTTTTTATTTTTGTTTAGTCTGGTGAACTGTTTCCAGTTTAAGTTCAGGTCAGCAACGTCTTTCAATACCCGGTGGAGCCATAATGTTTTGTATCTGCTGTATGATTTACCTTTACAGGTAAAAAGCCAAGTTAAAGCATCATGAACCAAATTGCAGTTGGGGTGTCTCAGAATGTGCGCTAAGAAATTAATTCGTTTTTTCTTTAATGATATGGAAAGGAATATGTTTTGATTGTTTCCATAACCTTTCGTTCGATATTAGTCTGGGGTAGAAAATGCCGTTAATTATCCTTAAACACTTGTTGATAAACGTTTGATATTTCCTATTATCAGCTTTGCTTATTTCCCATGTTTCATAGCCTTATAATAGAATGGGAATCACAGTGGAATTAAAGATACGTAGTCGTGTGAAGGCAGGTATCTCCCTTGTCTTCCATAACTTGAAGTACTTGTAAAAAGCTACCCTAGCTTTTTGTATTCTTATCCTGGGTTCTTCTTTACAGCCCCCTCTATTATCTAGGGTAATTCCTAGATATTTTATTTGGGTAACCACCTTAATCACATCAGACCCAACATCGATACTTTCTATGGGAGACGTGTGTCTTGCTAACATAATCATGGTTTTCTTGAAGTTTATTTCTAGCCCGACTTTCGAGCTCACCAATTTCAACAAATGAATAAGATTGGAGGTTTCCTCTAAATCCTTGGTGATGATTACCACATCATCGGCGTAGGATATAATCCTGTTCTCTAGATTGTACTTATTCGGATATAAGTTTAGTTCCAGCAGGTTTGCAGCGTCTTATTCATAACTATGTTGAAGTGGTGCCTTAATATCTTGATTATGTTTGTGTCAACCCCAACTTCTGATAAAATCTTCCAAAGCGCATCATGATTAACATTATCAAACGCCTGTTTAAAATCGATAAAAGTGAAAAAGAAAGGTAGTTTATATCTATCACATTTTTGAATGATGATTTTAAGAGCAAGAAAAGGTTCCATAATGTTTTTGCCTGGGCGATAGGCGCAGATATACTTGGCGAAGAGGTTTTGCGATGTTTGTAAAATGCGAAACTTGAGGAGGATCATAAATATTTTAGAAGCAATAGAGGTGAGTGCTATTGCCCTGTAATCTCCAAATTTAGTGGGATTTGGAATTTTAGGGAAGTTGCAAAGGGTGGATAGATTCCAATCCTTCGGTGTCACCCCTGTGGACCAAATTTTATTAAAGATGATTTGCAGGAAACGTGGTTCTGCCTCTGATGTTGCTTTAAGATGCTCACCAGTAATATTGTCTGGGCCAGGAGCTTTGTGATTCCTAAGTTTTTTAAGTGCAGAAGAAATTTCGGTTAGTGAGAACTGAGAGGTATATTGAGGTGTTGAGAACTGAGAGGTATATTGAGGTGTGGCTTGGAAATCAGATAGTACGCTTGTCGGTTTCCTGGATTCGAAGATCCTCTTGTAGTGGTCCGCCCAGAGCGCCAATTGATCATCCTGGTCGATTATAACTTTGTTATTTTCCAATCGAATGGAAGGGAGTTTTTTGAAAATTTTGGATTTGCAAAAATATTTGAGTTTGCTGTAGGCATCAAAAAGCCTGTTTCCTCTCATATCTGCATCAATCTCGTGTGCTTTCCTGACCGTAAAAATTCTTCTGTCACTTCTAGGCAATCTCTGTATAGATTTCCACAATTTTTTATCAAAGTGGCCTTTTAAACGGAGCTCCTTCTATATTGTTGGTCATGCCTAATATTCCCCCAAAAATGTTTGGAACGATAAAGGATTTTCGGATATGTTAAATATGTAAAAATAAAATAAATAATGTATCCTTTAAAAAATTATAACCTTAAAATATTTTTTCTTTTTCTAAATGTAAAAACTTTAAATTGTTCTTTTCTTATTTAACCTTAAAAAATTAAATATTTTTATTTTTGTAGGATAGTTAAATTTTGTACACTATATATATCGAATGAAAATTTGTAAATTTGTAATATAGATAATTTAGATAAAATAAATAAAAAAGGAATCTAATTTATTGTTTTCTCACTGATTTCCTTGTTTTATCGTGGTGGTAGAAAGGCTACTTCAGACTTTCTTTTTAGATATTTTTCAGAGACAAATTTTAAATACGACTTTAGCTACTGGAATATGGTCAAAATAGATGAAAAAGGATTCTGGAATGTTATGTTTTTTCTAAACGTAAGAGATGATTAAAATGTAAAAGTGAAAAATAAATAAAATTTTAATAATAAAATCTCTAAAATATGAATAAACCAATATGGGACCATAATAATAAAACAAAGTCCAAGATAAATTAGAAGTTCATTTAATATATTATGATAGTAAAAATACTTTAAGCTTAATACATAATTTACCAGATGATTTATTTTTGGCTATGGAAGCAATGGTACCGAGAGATGAAGTTCAACTTATGAGGAAGAATGTTTATATTAAAATGTTTATGTAATAATAAATCGTTAACCTTAACGGAGATAAAAGAAACATCTAGATCAAATAATATATCTAATTATCCTAACAAAAATTTTCAATGTCAAAACTATAAAAATAATCATAAAATTAATTATAGTGAAACAGACAATTATTATAACAGAAATCAATACACAGTGTTGTGATGATTTAATGTAACATATTGACGATTTAATTTTTGCATATATAGTTATAATCTTTACAAATGTACAACAAAAGAAATAATATAATTATATATGCATGTGTTTAAATTAAATCATCAATATGTTACATTAAATCATCACAACAATGTAATAAAATTAATAATAAAAATTATTATGGAGGTAGACAATTAGATAACAAATATTATAAAAAGACACATAACAATAATAGAAATGATCATAAATCTCATAATAATAAAAACTTGAAAAATATGGAATTACGTAAATTACCAAATATTCAAATTGAAATAGATTATTATAAATTAAAAGAGAAAAATAATATGATAAAATTCGAAGAAATAATTGTGATTAAAGAAAATAATGATATAAACATTAAAGAAAATAATAAAATTATAAATTCAAAAATCGAATCTTACAATTTAAAATGTATTAATCACATGTTAAAGTAAAAAGAAAATCTTGTAATTAATACTAAAAATGATAAAAAATTTAAGAAAATAATGAAATCACACTTAAAAGATAGAAGTATGATAAAGGGAGGCTATGTAAAAACTAAACGTCTTATTAGAAAAATATTTACGATAAGAAGATCATTTTCTAAAAAATTAAGACTAAAGATAAATTTTTTTATAAAGAACAATTTAAATGAAAAATAAGTGAGTAAAATTCAAAATTTAAAAATAAAAATAATTGAACTTTAATAAAAAAAATTTTTTTATATAAAACGCAATGACATATATAATACCAAGACTGACGTTTTATTCATTAAAGTGTACATCAATGCAAATCAGCTGGAGACGCCATCTTGGTTACACTAATCAGTATTAAAATTTTAAACGAGAGCCTAATTTATTCCTATATCTGATGCAAACTTTATTAGGATCATGGAGATAATAAGGAAGCAAGTTATCAATTTAATAATAGTTTTTAACATGAGAATAATTACTATATGTGTTACCAAAATGGTGGGCCCAGCTGATTTGCTTTTAACCACTTTAAAAGTGCATTTTAATGTATGAATCGTCAGTCTAGGTATTATATATGTCATTGATAAAACGCGATAATTCAAAATATTCTATGATTCAATATTCCAATTGATTATTATTCTTATTTTATGAATGATTCCGATAAATTATTTATTCCATTATCATTCCAATTATTCCAAAATTATTTATTCGAGATAAATTGATAGAACAATGATAACTAAATATAAATGATAATAAATAAAGAGATGGGCAAGCTAATGGAATGATGATCAAACGAATGATTAGACGATCAGGATAAAAAACGAACAAACCAATGAAAAAGATATGAATGAGGCTAAACAACGAACATAATATTAAATGAAAATTCTACAACAAAACAGAAAGAGGGGAAAGAAGTGAAAAACAAGTTTCAAGTTTAAAATCGGAATTATGACTTACGACCTAAAAAAAATAATGATTGTTATAAATAAATAAAATTTTTGATAAAAAAAATATAAAAATCTGAAAGCGAAATGGAAATGGAAATGGGATGATCAAATACAAACAATAAATCAACAAACGATGTTCAACAAACGATGATTCAATGGACAAACAAACTCAAGCCGTACTAACAAATGATTAATGGAGCAATAGAGAAAATGATAAACTGAAAAATCAACATTTGAAACTAGTGTTGTTAAACGGCGCGTTTTGAGCTGATTTTTTAAAACGGCTAAATCATTTTATTCAGCAAAATACTATTCAAGCCTGAATATTTCGCTCATAGAAGCAATACAGATCTAGACATATAAACGAAAGATCAAGGCTTGTGCAATATTTTTCTTTCTAAAATATTGAGTTAGCCGTTTTAAAAAATCTGCTTAAACGAGCCGTTTAACAACACTATTTGAAACACTCAATCGCTCAAACGTTCCGTTTATTTAGTCAATGGAAGATTATTTTTGAAAAATAAGAGCACGTCTTTTAACACCAATTTAATTTATAAAAGTCAAATAAAAATTTATTTACTTAATATTTAAATGAAAATATTATGTTATTTTTGTTTACCAGTATAGATTATTTATATTAAATTATATGAATTTTAAAAAATTCAGGGAACATTTATTAAATTATTATCTAGGAAACCAAAATAGATTTAAATTTCATGAAGACGCAATTTAATGAATGTTACCGTAAGCTTAGTAAGTAATCTATGCCATTTTTCCAACTTAGGCTAAGGAAATGCAAATATATTGTTTCAATTATTGTAATATCATGGGTTTTGATAAAAGATTATCTATTTTTAATTTTTAATCAAATTATAATCTTTGTTTATCAAAATATATATATCATGACTATATTCGCATCGGTTAGGGTTTAGCAATCGTAATTAACTATACAGTTAGGTTACACCATATGTATTATGGCTTTTAAACAAACGATAAAAGGAGTTAGTGGAAGTGCCTCAACAAATGTAATAACGAGTTTATCGGATGGTCCAAATCCAGCGATCAAAAAAATGAATTCCGATCTTTTTATAATGACCTATGGTTCATTTGTTACACAATTAATGAAGGATTTTGAGAATGATGAGGAAGTCAACAAACAATTGGATAAAATTGGTTATAATATTGGCATAAGATTAATAGATGATTTAATAGCAAGATCCTTGAGTACTTCCACACCTATCATTAATAAATGCCATGATATGAAAGAAACTGCAGATGTATTATCCAAAATTGGGTTTAAAACTTATCTTAATATTGTGCCTACTATCACAAATTTTATTGTGGGTGCAAATGGATACCAAGAATTTTCTTTAGTATTTGAATATAATCCCTTAGCAGACTATGTTGAAATTCCAGATGGTAAACATGATAAATTGTCATATTCAAATGTTATATGTGGTATTATACGTGGGGCTCTAGAAATGATGCAACTAGAAACATCTGTTTATTTTGTACAAGATACACTACGTGGAAACAGCACAAATGAAATTAAAGTTAAGCTTTTAAGGAAAATTGAAGATTCTATGCCAGCTTCTGAAGATTAAAATATTTTATATTATAATTTTTTTATATGTCAAATATATGTATTTTTCTTATATGATATAAGTTGTAAAATGTATATTATAGATAAAAATGTATATTATTAAAATAAACATTTCTTTTATTTAGTATAACATATATAAAAATATACTTAAATATTTGAGATAAATATCTAATTTTAAACATATTTTTATAGCAAATTAAGTTAAAATTAATTATATAATCCTTATTTTTCTGTATTTGACATATATTTCATTATTATTTTTATGAAACCTTTATAAAATATTTCTTAGAACCTTATGAAATTGAAATTATGTAAATATTCTTAAATACTATAAGATAACATATAAGGAATAATTTGTACTCAACCCAATTATTACATTTTTACTTGCAACTTTGATAATTTTATCAAATTTATCTGTCTGAGATTTTATATGCAATATGGAATTCAAATATTATAAGTTTGGATGTACCAATTTTTAATATTGAATCATTCTTTTTTTTAGAATTTTGGTTAGTCAAATTTATCTGTCTGAGATTTTATATGCAATATGGAATTCAAATATAGGGATATACTAAAATTTTAATATTGAATCAGCTTAATATTCATTTTTTTAGAATTTTGGTTAGTCATTAAATTTAAACTGATCAATCCAATATCAAAATGACTACAAAATATTTATGATATGATATAAATTAGAGGTATCAAATGGGTAGATTTAAAAAAATTACATGCGATTTATTTTTTGTCAATATTTGTGCTGTAGACTTGAGGTCTGCACCACGCGTCCATTCTCCAGACTAGCATGGACCCTTTAAAAATTTTTAAGGAAACATAAGGCAGGTGTATTAAAATATTTTTAAATGGGGAAGGTGAATTTTATATATTTTTAGGGTGAAATAAGCAGAAGCATACTTGTATTTATTAAAAAATCATTTTTATGTATTAAAATAAAAGAAATAAAGAGCTAAACCAGCCATTAAGACAATTTTTAAATATTGGGCGGGTTGGTTAAACAAAATTTTTAGATAAATGAGCGGGCGTGCCATTAAAAAAACTATGAATGAGCGGAGAAGTAGGTTAAATTTTTTAGAACAATAAGCGGGTTGGCGTTTAATTGAAAACCAGCCCATTGCAGACTTCTACCGTACACAACGCCTAACTAGTGTAAGCTATATAGACCCCTGCCTATTAAAGCTAGGTTTATATAGCCGAACGAAATATAAAATTTAGGGGACAAAATGATTAAAATTTTTAAGGTTTTCTTTCTTCTAGGATTCAAGTTGTCCCATAATTAGAATGGCTATTTTTTCTGAAAAATAGATGAACACAGACAGTCCATAAATAAAAATTAGGAATTATTCGTAAGGCCCCATGCTATACAAAGGGTTTTATTTCATTTTATCACACTGACATACAAAGATTTAGGAATATACCGTCGGTTCGTGCCGATTATTCATCCTTTTTAAAATATCGGTTATCCGATATTATTAAATTTGATAAAATGGTGTCTTAGTTTTTAAAAAATTTCCAGCTGGTTTCATTACCAATTCAGTGCATTATTACAAAAGAAATTAATGGAGAAAACGCACTAATTAGCATAGTTATTCCATTTGTAGAATTTCTTAAAAGAGAACTTGCTAATCATTGTTAGCATGATAAAGGTGTCTAGGCTATAAAGGATGCGTTGTATACAAATCTTACTAAACGTTTTCCCCATATTTATATTACTTACTACTAGCAACAATTTGGAATCCTCACTTTAGAACAATTTTAATTCAATCATTATTCTGTCGATAAAAATTACTTTTAGAATGCATTAACAGCAACTCTCGTGAGGAAATTAATTCATCCAGTCTAAGTAATATCTTAAATTTTCTTAAATATTATTTTTTATATTATTTATAATATTAGAAAAACAAAATATGGACGTAGAATTAATTCCATCAATATCAGCATACAATTCAACTGGCATATATTTAGTTTGTTGGGATCTTTTACTGAAGCTAAAGCAAATGAAGAGTCTAATTTAATTAAAAAAACCATCAAAAATTGCCCTTATTCTCATAAAATTTATCTTGAGGAACCAATATTTAACGCAATAAATGATAATACATCAGCAGACCCTTTAATTGAGCTGTGAACTGCCATAAATATCTCGCTCTTTCTAGACTGGTTCATAAAAATCTAGCAACAGCTGCGACAAATGCATCATCAGAATCTCTTTATGAAGCTGGTGATATTGACTTGACAGTCCCCATCAAGGCAGTCTGACCCCAGATAAACTAGAAATTTTTGTGTTTCTGAAAAGAAATCTTTGATAAAATTTAAATATTTATTTAAAATTTCATTAATATATTTGTTAAATTACTATAGAAATAAGATATTTATAATGTGTTATTAATATATAAAAAATGTTAATTAAAATATTTTGTACGCTTTACACATTAAATTAAATATGTATGTTGTGATATTTGAATAAGATCTTTTAAAGAATTCAGATATTGAATAATGGTAGTAGCTAAAAAAAATTTGGCTGGGGGAGGGGTCAGCTGCTTATTCAGAGGGATCAATATTTTTTGAAATGAAACAAATAGTTAGGCACTCATAGTAATTTTTTGCTATTTTTATCAAAAATTTGTAAATGTAAATATACATACAAAATAATACTCGACGATTTTTATTTTAAAATTTTAACATAAATGAATTAAATGCTAAATTCTGTATTAGTTTCTTCCATAAGCCATTAAAGGCCATTTATTTACGTCTATCTTTCATCGGTTCTCTAGTGCTCAATTTAGGATATTTTTAAAATTATGTGCTTCCTTAACTTCTACAGCTAATAATCCTTTTGCTATTTCTTTTCATGATGTAATGTTTCCACAATTAAGTTTAATAATGATGCTAATGGGGTATAAAATAATCAGGGTTAGGGCGGGGGGGGTGGGCAGTAGGCATTAGACGGTTCACCCTTGTCCCCCCCCATGAAAAAAATAAGTTTTTTTTTAAAATATATTTTTTAATTTACCAAATTGATAATATAAATGCCTAAAATATAAAAAACAACTATTTTTATGTTTTTAATTTATAAATAATAATGTTGATCTACAATATTTTATTATTTTAGATATTTTTAAAATAAATTTTGACATCTTGCAAAAAACTTGTCTAATTTGTCATATTCCTTTTTTAAAAAAATCTAATTTGTCAATTTCATTATGAATAAATAATCATTAATGTAATATTATCTCAAAAAATATTAGGCACAGGCAGGTCTGCAATGGGCCGGCTTTCAGCCAAAAAGTCCGTCCGCTCGTTGTTTTGTAATTTTTTAAACCGCCCGCCCACTTATAAATTGTTTTAAAAAATTTACCCGCCTTACTGCCTACTTATCTATAATTTTGTTTAACCCGCCCACCTAATGCCTAAAAATTATATTGATGGCAAGTTGGACTCTTTTTTTGTTTATTTTAATGTATTTTTAAATTAAATATATATAATATGCAATATTATGAAATAAAACTATTATTTTATATCTGGGTTCAAGCATGATACTAGATTTAAAAATGTTAAATTTTCAATCTTACTTTTCATCTATAAACCAACTATTAGATAGAATAGAGCAAAAAAATATACTAATAATAATGGTTTATTATAAGATTTGGAATTAGTGTTTACAAAAGCTTAGCTCATTTCACGCTTAAAGCATGACGTCATAGCTTTCATTTTGTTTATAACTCTATATCTTTTTGTGGTTCTCATATTTGAGCGAGGAATTGAAAATATTAGTCAGGCACTAAATATTAGCGCACGCCAGATGTATAATTATTTTTATATTTTCCATTTTAGCACAATATCTATTTTGACAATTTTCCTTTTTTCCTTATGATGTCCACCAATCGGATTAAATTAATATTCAATTAAGGTATAAACATCGATTTAATTTACAGAATAAATGCTTTCAGTCACTTCTTAATCTTAAGGTTGGTCAAAATTTTTTACCAATAATTTTTCCTTTAGGATGGCTAATATACTGGTTAAAGTCAGTTACTAATAAAACACAAAACATTGTCATATTTTAGAAGTAGGACTTGCTCGGCGAACTTTAAAGGAGATTATATAAAGACCACCGAAAAATCAATAAAATATAAAAATTTTTTATAGGAGGGACCCGGCCGAAGTCCGGGTTAAAAGGGGGTTTGAGGGCGAAACTCCCAAAAAAATTTTTAATCTCCGTCCCCGATTGGAAAATTTTGGCTATGCCACTGGATGTCTACGTATTTAAACGTGATAGAATATTATAATCATCTTGTGTACATCTTCTAAAAACGATCTACAATAATTTCATAATTCCTTTTCGAAAAACTATCAAATTGCAATTTGGTAACGCCTAATAGAAATTTAAGTACCCTTTAAGATATTTGAGGGATGAAATTAATATTGATATAGGTTTTTCAGCCATAATTCTTATCAAATCAAAAGAATTATCATTTTTTTATTTTTAATATATAAATTGTAGAATTAATACAATGTTTAGCATCCACTCTATTAGTAACTACTGACTGTACATACTTATTTAGTGGATTACTTCATAAATTCTAATGACCAATATAATGTAATTTATATTAACACATTGAGATAAAAAACCAAAAGCTTCGACTGAATCATGAGGGGATATCTCTGAGTTAAAAGTTCTTTTAGAAGATTAAAATAATACTTCATCAATAGTCTCACAATTCTCATAAATAATACGAGATGTTTATAAATGACCAGACCACCTCTGGTCTAAAGTCTCTTAGGAGTATGGCGTGCATTACATGATACGTTAATACCCTAAAAAAATTATACAATGTATTAGATAAATTAAAAAATTACAATATTATTTTAGCAAGGAACTTTTTTATCAAGTTTTTTTGAAGCAGGGTTTGTACTCCACCATTTCGGCCAGACATGACGTTTGCACTATCATATGGCATTTGTTGAATTAATATTTAATTTATTAAGTTGCTTTAAAATACAATTAATAATGCTTTCAGCAGAAAGACA